TCGGAGTTACGGTTTGGAAATGGCAAGCGATTCAAAATTGGCACCGGTCTGCGATTTACAGCAAGTAGGCATCTAAATGCAATGAGATGAACATGCTACAGCACTCAAACATGGCATCAAAATACATGGCAGGGAAGCATTCAAGATGCTTAACAAAAGTCTAGCACTGAGCTACTGCCAATTCATCCATTAACAGGTTCAAACAAGCATGGCAAAAACGCAAATGGAAAACAGATCTCAGACTTAGTGAAATTAACACTTGTCTGAAATTTCAGATCATATAGCCCTCTTTGGAGCAACGAAACAACATGCTACATGACCTGATTGTGACAAAGAAGAACAAGGCATGGAGCTACTCAACAAGCTTAACAAAAGTCCCTTAGTGACCTTGAGCCAAAAGGGAACGGAAAATATACTAACAAGCACACGAACATAGCTAAAACATAATCAGTTTTCAGACTTAGTGAAAACTGACACATGCTGAAACATAACTCACGAAGGCATGTTAACGAGCTCGATGCACTCACTATGGTGCAAGTCATGGCAAGACAAGCATACATCCACTAAGAAGGCACAAAATTCAAGCTAGACATGGCAAGAACAATAGCATAGCATGCACGCATCAACTACAACATCACCGGCAAAATTGCAAACGAGTTGACAATCTGCCCAGATTCACAACGAAGCAAAAGTAGAGCTCGATTGACTCAAGCTAGGGTGCTCCATAATTGCAAACAAAGGCATGGATGGATAGAGCACTACAATATTAACAAAACTCCTTTACTGATCATCCTCAAAAGAGGCACGGATCACTAGGAAACAGCATGAACATATGGCATCATGAACTAAACAATCCCAGGACTTAGTGAAATTACTGAGTCCCTGAAAACAGATTTACCGGGTGCCTCACTTTGCAAGCTTGCATTAGTCACCACACACATCACAAAAATGCATGAGTTGCACCTCTGGAAAGATGACAAAACCCTTAACAAAACATATGTAGAACTCATGGGCATATCGTGCACACAGCAATCATGGCAAAAATGACAAATGTCTAAGATGGAGTAGCAGATCTGACAAATAACTCATGAAGCCCTCTTCTAACAGCATTTCGGGCATCAAGATGAACTCAAATGAAAATGATGCGATGGAATGGAATGATGTACTCTCAGAAGCGAACATTTTGATATGCTATATGCATGAATCGGAGCTACGGATGCGGAGATATAGCAGGTCAAAGATAGCAAAATAATTAGGGTTCGGAGGGAAAAAGTCAACCCGAATCTCAGATCTGGATCTGGCATGAATTACGAGGACGGCCGGATTTACTGTAGACGGCCGGAGCTTCACGGAGCGTCGCCAGAGAGGAAGAAGGCCGGGGCGGCCGAGGAGGAGCGGGGTGGCCGGAGCGGTGGTGGCGGCGGCCGGAGTGGCGGAGCGCGGCGGAGGCGAGCGGCGGCCGACGGCGATGGCGTAGGGCGGCGCGGGGCCACCGGAGATGGCGCACGGCGGCGGGGCGGCCGGGGAGCGGTGCGGGCAGGCGGGAGGCGGCCCGGGCAGGCGGGAGAGGGAGCCGGGCGGC